GATAACCTAATTAATGCTTGGTAAGTGAGAAACAGGTAATTGGGCCATAATTTTATCAGTTGCTGAATTTGTCTGCAATAACTCTGTTAACAAGTCAATAGCTAAGAGTACTTTTGAAATTATTCTTTGTTATTTCCCTTGCACACATATTAACCTTCTACCACTACCCTTTGACAATAAAATTTCTGGAACAGCTGATCTTTTGCTAAACATGTTCATGATTTACGTGTTGAAATTAGGCACGAGATTATTTTCAATAACTGAATTATAAACTTGAAGCAAATTTACATCGTAAACCAACAGAATTTCATACCCTTCCTAAATGATATCCCAACAATTCTGTGGAGAAACTATATGCCTGAGTGCTTGGCCTTTTTCTTTCTATTAGACCTCTTAGCTCCTGTGCATATTTGATTAACTTGCCTATTCATATGAATATTAATCCTATTCTCAGTGTGGAATTTAACACTTTATCAAGGCACTTTTGGGCCTCCTTTGTCTTCAAGTATTCCTAAAGGACAGCAGTTACTAAGACTCCTTCATTGTCACAACCATACGAAAAGATTGAAGTTATCTTTGAAGAATCATTTGTGACTTCTCCTAATGGTGGTACCTGCCGTTTTCTAATTAAATGGCATAGACGTTGAATTTTTTACACTTTTTAGATTTCTGAAAACTAATGTAGTGAACTTGATCAAGATTTCTTGAAGCAGCATGTTCAGTCGGTGTCCCCTGAGTCAAGGTCTGTCTCAGTGGAGGAGAAAGACTTAGAACTAATAAAGGAAAAATAAACATTTAGAGAAGTTTTACATTGAAAGGAATAGGAAGATCTTGTTTCGAAGAAAAAATGTACCAAAAGGAGGGGAGACAGAGAAGCAAACAATCTCTAAACAGAAAAGTTTTCCCCAAACCACTTTGGAGGGAAACCTAATATATGCCCGAAGAACAGAGCCAGCAAGAAATCGACCTATAGATCTCAACCCTTGCAGCCGAAAGGAGAGGCAGACAATTGTGTTTAATAGCAATGACACTTAATAAGCTAAAGCCAATAACAACCAGACATAAAAACAGTAAGAAATTTGAGAAAAGGAAGATGGACATGTGGATCGAGACGAAATGTAGAATACTGGAATAAGAAGATCATTCATATGATTTACTGTATTTTTGCTACCTATAAATAGAGTACCCTAACTTAATTATTAAGCATATCAATCCTATGATTATTATTCAAACATTGAGTTTTTTATTTGAGTAGGAGTTATCAATTTGAGTACTGCTCCAAGATTTCTAATTTGTTCCTAATAAATTTTCTTGAGGTTTCCTTCTCAAGTTCTTTAGTCATATTAGGTTACAAGTTAAGTTAGACAATAAATCTATAAGGCTCCCTACAGGAATGGCCCTTAAGCCAAAAAAGATGTTCACCTCCTCGAAACCTTTCTGTCTTTATAAATGACCCAAAAGAGAGAGACCATAGTGAGTACCAGCTGCATCTATATTGAGGAATATTAAGCCATCAAGAAACTCAAGACATGTATATTGAGCTTGTTCCTTTACCTGAGCCCCTTTCCAAAACAGCAAGTAGCAAATATAGGGGGCAGTTCATAACTTTCATTCCTAATTTTATGCCAAAATTCTAACTTGTCTTAAGACCATCTTCTATATAAATCAAATGAAACACAAGAAGAACAATCAAAAGCATATAAAAGAATATAATATAAGAAGGCAGCATATACTAACTTGCTTTGCTCCTCCAGTACCATTTGGAATTGCTCTTGGGCTCTTCGAGTCACTTTCTCAAACTTCATCTGGGATTATCATGGAAAGACACCAAAACATGTGTGTTCATTAACTAATATCTATGCACTTACATCAATAAATATACGATAACATGCATATACCTGCATGAATGTATATAAAGCATGGAGAATACAATATTCAACCAACATACACTATTACCTGCAATGCAGTTGCCGTTTCCAGTGCAACAGTGGGGCTAACTGCATTACTCCTCTTCACAAACTCCAAGAAGCGGTCACAGCTTTCCCTCAAAACCTACAATCGTCCAGAGTAACAATGACGGTGAGATAGGAGAAGCTAAGAAAAAAAAATAAGCAAACAGATCAAGAAAAGAAACTTAACCCATCAGCATATCAGCCCATTTCGTATTTTGTCATCCAAAAAGGCCCTCATGTTACTTACAATTTGAAATTTCTTAAAAAAATATAATAGATAGACCTCTTAGTCGAATGCCTTAATCACTCTACTCGATTCTTCCCAGCCTTACAACTCTGTTAAGCAAACATAGTCTATAGAATCTTCAGATTCATCCTTCAAATCTTTTTGTCTTTCTTCTTTCACTTCCTTTGAGTTGTAACCCTACATAAATGCAATATCCAAATAGATTTATTCTCCTGATGTTTCTGTGATGCGCACTAGAGACCTAGAAGCTAATAGTAGGTTACACTCTGAGTTCGCTTCAAATATTTGAGATAAGTTGCTTCGAGAGTTGGGCCATCTGCCACTCTTGAGGTGTTTCTCCATACCTATTTGAGTAGTTGGATGAGGTCATAGAGTAAGTTGGGAGGAAGACTCGTTACAGGCTATTTTGTTTCGTAGCTAGAACCAAACACTAGATTTTTATTGAAAAGAAATATATTAGATGCAGAAAGGGCAAAAACACCTAGAAGAGGATAAGTTATACTCCAGAGAAAAAAGGAGAGAAAACATAAAGAAAACAAAAGAAAATATGAAATCGCAACTCAATCCCTCTACTGCTTGGAGAAAAAAATCCCTCCAGAAACCATTTGTTGTAGCCCAAGTAGACACTAAGCAAAAACTCTGATTCCAATATAAATAACAAAGTTGGCAAGCAACCTCAATGTGCTTAGTTCTCTTATGACAAATTCAAATTTTTGAAGGAATGTAGATTGCTAGTTAGCGATCAAACAATAACTCCATTGATCATGATTGTGTAAAACCAAATTCTTGAAGACAGAAGATTTCATAAGAGGACGGCATAATCAAGAAAAAAACAAACAGACAATTTAGATATTTAGTTAACTAGCTAAAAGAACATACTATTCAACAAAGAATTGAAACTGCAAAAAGAAGGTAAGGTAAGAGATGATTCAGTACATCCTCTCTTTTTTGGAAAAAGAAATATTATTAAGATAAAAGAACAAAAAAATACAACTATTGAAAGTAAGTCGTCCTCACAAAAGAATTATGAATAAGACATCATTTATAGTTGAGCATAAACCCAAAAAGCATCTACGGGAAGAAAATAATTGCCTCTTAGTTCTGATGAAGCTCAATGATTGCTAGATCAGAATAGTTTCAGTGAGCTTTGGCTCATAAGAGGCCTAGAATATCACCCTCTCCCATAACTCCTGAAGTGATGAGTAATGGTATTCATATATCCTTCGGTTCCTCTCTAGCCATATGCACCACAAACCAGCAACGACGACCCCTTCCCACAAGGGCTAATAGATCCTATAACCAATAGCAGGGGAAGCTTGACCCTTAAAAATTTCATGTAGTCGTCTTTAAAAATTGTCAGAATGTCGACCTCAATCATTAATAAAGGATGAGCCTTGTGGTTCAATTATATTTTTAATCAGATCTTTTGGCAAGGTGGTCTGTCAACCAATTCCAACCATGATCCCTCGTAAAAGTGGGTTTATGATATACCTCTATAGTTCTCTGAATAGCAACCACGATGACCTTACCTCCCCCCCTGATCTTCATTATCTCTGAATGACTGAGGCAGAATTACCACTACCAGTATTCTTGGACAGGAGCATCTTTAGAGGAATATTGCAGTCTTCATGCAGAACTTCTGTAAAAATAGAAAGTTGAACACTCTAAAATTTGAGAGGGCAGGGGCTCAGACAAAGGTTCTAATCCTATGACAAAACGCATAGTCGCTAACTATTCTTGTTGTTTGTGCATTGTCTTCACAGAAGATGTTACAGGCCGAATTGTATCCAAATCTTCATAAATTCATTGTAGCCTGAGAAAATATTTGATACTTGTTTTCTCACCTGTTGTAGTAATAAACAAATAAAATAATACAAACCAGTCATATTGTTGACATACAAGAGGTTGAAATATGAGGTTCTATGGAATTCGACAATAGTAGATAACTTGTGGATCTTCCTATTACCAATTATCTAACGTTGAATCAGTAAGATATATTAATGCTTACCATGTCCTACTAGGTACACCTTTACCAATTTAGATTATTACCAGTAATTATTCTCTTTCATACATTACATAATGATTTGGACATAGACAAGATAATCTTAGTCGCCATATAGCTATTTGAAACCATAGCCACAAACACCCAAAAGAAAAGTCCCAAAATAAACAAATTTATCTGCACAAAATGCTGTAAAAAAGGACTTGAGTTTAAAAAGATGACAGTACAAGGTACACCATTCACCATCAAAACTTGTTGGAGCTGAAGAAAAGAGCTTCAAGCTTTATGGTGTAGTGCGTTCCTTATTTTGTTTTGGGTCTTATGGTTCAAAAATAATTCCCGATATCTCATAGTTTAAATCTATACTGAAAACCTGCTTATAGATATCCCAGAATTTTAATATGCATGTGCTGTCTATGGGTAACAATAGATCAGCCAGCCTTGTTGAATGATTCTGCCACCTAAACAATGTCCAACCTTTGAGTAACAGTAATTAGTGCCTACGCTACCCAATAAAGTACGAATTTCTCTCATTTTCTGTCTCCATAAACCAAAAAGAATTTATTAAAAAAAAGAAAAGGAAAAGAAAAAAAATTAGGAAATCACCGTAACATGGCAAGGAGAAATTGTGGCCGACAACCTCCAATCAACACTCTCTCCAACCGGCGAGTGTACAAAACTAGCAGCCAAAGCATTCATCTTTTCCTCACTGCAAACACTCTGCAAAACAAGCATTAACCAGTTATACAAGGCATGTGATGGATACTTAAGTTTTTAGTTGGTTACATCATAAGCTTTAAGTTAATAAAACTTAGTATGTATTGGAAGTACTGAGAGAAACTGCAGCGTGGTACCATAAAGGAAAAAAAAAAAAGAAATCAAAACCAGTTTATTTTCTAATGTAACAAGGAAATAACAAAATCAAAAATAAATCTCAGAATGAATAATGGTAGTATCAGGACTATGCACATGCCATCTAGTTATAGAAAGTTAACCTGGGCAAGTGACCCTTCAGGAGCAGACAAGCCATAGAATTTCAACAACACATCGCACTGAGTACTTCGATGTTTAAACTTGGTTGATACATGAAGTTGTTCAAATCTGCTGCAAAGAATCTCCATTTGATTTATATTGATAATCCTGGCTGCAGCCTGACCAATAGATACAGTTACCAGAAACTGGATCATGTTTTGCATGTCTTTTCCTGAGTGTGATGGCATCTCCTCATCCGGCTGGTAACTCAATAATTTATTTATTGCCTGCCATTCTTCTTTAGTCAATTTTTCCTCTGTTACCGGAGATTCCTCAGATCCATTATTATCAACAGAGTCATCTGAGTTTCCACGCCTGTAATAATAGATAAATATGATATATCATCATGGAAGAAACCTTGTACTTTGTTAGAAGGAAAATGCAATGAACCAGTCAGAAAGGCAACATAATCTTTTTCAAGAAAAGAGAGAATAGAGTTCACACCAACCATTTCAATGAGAACCAGCTTTTATTCTTAAGCCTCCTCTGTTCAGCTGCTTCCTTCAATTTTACCGATTCAACCTTCGCATGTGCAAGTAACCTAATAGATTACCAACACCAGATACCAAAAGTACAAGATCAGAGAGTTTAATTAAAAGAGACCAAGAACAAGGACAAAGATGACATTTTTTTTAATTAGAAAACTTCTTATTAGGAGAGAGAGAGAATACGAAGAGAGAGAAAAAAGTATCTTCCTTTGAAGAGAAAGAAAATAGAAACAAAATAAACAGGGGTAAGAAAACATGCTTTAGCCACAAAGAGACTACCGCAAATTATTCTATCACAAGCAGAAAATATGCAAGGTTAACACAGTCAGTAAATATCCAAATATAGGAGCAACTGTGATAAACTTCATTTTCTTGTCTGCTAATCATATTGAATTGTAAGAAATGAAGAACACAGAAACAATTATAGACAAGTGCAGGCACAGGGAGTTTTACCAGGGCATGCATATAAAATCACGAGTGGATAAGCATGTAAGTACATTCACATTATGTTGCTAAGACTGGGATGAAGCATTGAGCACAGACACATGGCAAAGCTTCAGATGCAAACTCATCCCAGATCCTGTCAACAAGGGTACATGAGGTAAAACAAGAAGACCAACATAGGATGGACATTGTAGTACAAATATTCCAATGCTGACAAAGAAACAGGAGAGGTAATTTTGTTCTTAATTAGAGTTTAACTGCTATGTCCTTTTTTTTTTCTGAAGACTGAGCTTTATTAAAATAAGAGGTGAAAAATACAATGAAAGGATAGAGTAAATCACAACCATATCATAAACTCAGAGTAGTCCAAAGATAGTACATTAAAAACATACATAAGGATTATCCTGGAAATCAGAGATGCAGTGTTTTCTTTAACACAAGGAACAGACTAATGCTAGATAATAGACCAATGCAACAACGGAATACAGTCTACTCAGACAACCAAGAACCTTCTAATATTAAAGCATAAGATGCCATCTTATCACTCTGAGCTGCACTATTTCACACAAAACTTACACCTCAACCACTGCTAAAATATTTGATGTAATATATCTGCTTACCCCTAAGCAGGATTCATCACAGCATACCAGACACCCAATTCACATTATCTCAACCAGTAATAGCTAAATTCCATGGGTATGCATATGAAATGAAAAAGGAAAAGTAGATTTATGTACCTCCACAGAAGGATAACTTTTGAATCAAGGTCTCTTTCGATTTCTCTAATTTCTGAGTAATTAAACTTTGATGACTGCTGCAGTGAAATAGCATACAACTGAATGTAATGTCGACGGAGCTGGCAAAGATGGCGAATTCGATCCCACGAGAACCGATAGCTGAAGTAAGGGAAAGCACGCGAAAAGTAAGTTTCAGCTTCAAAATGTTCTCGTTACTGCATGACTTAAATATTATACAATCAATGGGACATGATAAAAGAATTTGAATAGAAATATAAGTTTTCAAACAAATTCTTATTATAAGAACTCCGAGCAATGAAATTCTCATAAAAGTTATGTTTCAATTATCAAGAAATCTCCTGTTCATTAAGTTAGTAATCTCATATAAGAGGTAATCTACATGATATATTTATGTACCACATTTTTTTCTGCTGTAGAGCAGCCTGAGCAGCATAGCGCCACCACAAATAAGGAGCCTTTGAAACAGCCACTACAGGTCTTAAATGTGAAATCTCAACATATGTCTTGTATCTGGAAACAACTTCAAAAAGCTTTATGCAGTCATGATATTGCTCCTGTGGAGAAGAAGATACAAGCAAGATACGTTTCAAGACTCTATTCAATCATTGAGAAAATGTCAAAACAGAACTACAGAAATATTATATCTTCTCTAACTCTCCCCTGGACCAAACAGATCAGAAAAGGAAAGCAATAAATAGGGCTAAAAATGAAACTAGAAGCACTGAAAGCAATCAGCACCTCTGTAATTGTTAAATTAACATCACTAAGGACAATTGAGGCCTTCTCAAAGGGAACCTCTGGATTATTCCTTTCCTGACCTCCCAGTCTATGATATCTGAGGACTCCATTTATTGGTGAAACCAAATACTTGCGGTTCAGAGCCCATTTCGATACTGTTCCATGGCCTGCAATTGGTTCATTTATGCCGTCTTCAAATATCTGGATTAAAAAAAAAAATTAATTGTGAAAAACTCAATTGGATGCAACTCAAAAGGCTATGTTGCTCGGACTCTTTAATTTTAGTGGCACATCCATGTCGGACATGAAACGACACTGGTATGGTCATGGGATCTGTTCCTGACACTTGATGTACATGTCATAAACTTGATGGTCTAGAACTAGAGGTTATGATATATGATAATATAAAGACAATAGTAAAGGCTCTTAGACTATAAGTTGAAAAAGAATATATAAATGATAAAAGATTTTCTTACATGTATAAAGTTAGAAAATTTTCCATAATCAATACCTAAATCATTTACATATTACAAATTAGAATATATTTTCTTTCATTAACGACAAATCTCAGTCTGCTATCTTTTGTGCTAACAATTTTATATCAGTATGCATAAGACATAATTTTAGCATCAAAAGGCTATATTAGTTCTCTTATGTTGCAGATCAAAACAATCCAAGTACCTTCATCCAAATTAAGGACTCTAATTGACTGAATCCTCATATCTTCAACTATAAAAATTATTGTGTTGAACACCTAGATCCATTCCCATTCCCGGAAGTTCTACCCAAGTCCAAGCAACATAGCTCAAAAGTATACATTACCTACTATTTCAGCTATCCATGATTATCTTATCCCAGCACATCCATGCAACTATAATAGCATAAGAATAACATCATCATGTAAGAACAAACCTCTATCCACTCCTTGGGAGTTAGATCCTCCCACTTTTTATCTATCACCCAAGGAAGGCTATTTGAGTCATGATACATAGCAAGTCTCTCAAGTTGCAATGACTGTATTGACAAAATAAAATATATCAGTGCACATAATTCAGCTTATCATACAAAACTAATATGTAGCATGGTGGTGATCACACATAGTGAGAATGAATCTGAAAACATGAAAAGAAAAACTATGAAACAAGGTAGAGAAACAGTACTAACGTCATCAAAGAATAAAAATAAAGAAAGAAATAGGTCAATAAATAATATGTGAAGCCAACTATGAAATAGAAATAAAAAATAAACATATAATAGTAAATACTCTTGTGTAATCAATTTTAGGGTTTTCTTTCTCACACTTAAAGCTATATATATATATATAGGACTCAACTATTTAATAACAAATCCAAATATTCTATTCTCCCACATGATATTAGAACTATAGGAAAAATATTCTAACTTTTTCCACAGGCCCTAAATTGGCCTCTATTACTGGACCAAAAAGGAAAAAAGGAAAAACCTAAACTCATATGTAGCCTTCATAGGCGGCCTTCATAGACAGAAACACCTCTGCCACGCCTGGAAACAGCTTGTTCCAGCATGCTGTGTCGCAGCCGCATCAACTGTGTTTTGCCTCAGTGTTCGCCCCATTTCAACCACGAGCCCTGTTCCTGTACCACGCAGCAGCCACCTTCAGTGCCGCCCTGTTTCGGGTGCTCTGCTTCTGTGCACAGCCGCTGTTTTTGCCTCACCCTGTCATTGTGTGATCTTTTCCATGTTCAGATATTGCCCGGCTGCACCATGATGCACCCAGACAGCCGCCCAGCTCCTGCATGCATCTGCCTCACCCACACACAGCCTCTGCGCACCTGCTTCAGCCACCACAGCCCCATTGCATCTGCTTCAGCCGCACGCACCCCTGTGCATCTGCTTCAGCCGCGCGCACCTCTGTTTTTTTCGTGTGTCTACCCTATCTCCATTGCAACAGCCGACCTTCATTGCCAACAGTCTATACAGTCGTATAATACAGCCCCTGCTACTAATTGTTTCCATGGTTTATTTCCTCTTCATCACCGTGCCAATTCTTAAGGGACGAATTCACATCATTAGGGATACAGAAGTGTCCCACATAAAACCCAGGGACAGACCCACTTGACAAATCAACAAATGGAAGAAAAGACTCCAGAGCAAAGAGTACAAAGAGAAAATTGAAAGGTTGAAAACTCATCTCAAATCTTTATAAAATCTCACAGGTACAAGTCTATTGGCACATTCAAGTAAGTTCCTTGCTTCAAATAGCTTAAATGCCTCAAATAGATCCTTTGTATAATCATAGATTATAGACTCAAAAGACATTGATCATATGACAAACTTTTCACAAGATTTTATCACATATACTCCTTGTCCCAGTAACAGAAACATAGTCACTTCAGATGGTTTGTTAACGATTGTAGGAGTTGGTATTATCAAGATTAGTCCCAACTTTACTCTTGAGAATATATTTCATCCCCCACAATTCTGCACTCATCTCGTATCAATGACTAAATTGTCTTATGATTTGAATAGTAAAGCGACATTTTTTCCTTCTCATTGTGACTTTCCGAACAAAGACTTGGGGATAAATATTGGACATGCTAAGGCAAAGAACGATTGTGCTTCTTGGAGACACCTTGGTTACCTCTCTCCTTTCTCTTTAATACCACAGTCAACAAGATTTAGCTACACGACAAAAACTTGGGCACACTTCCTTTTCTATTCTTAAAGTGATGTTTTCCTCTTTATTCAAGGAAAACCACTAATAGAAATTTGCACTATGATGCACGTAAACTTGTTTAACATATGTGTGTAACATTTTCTGTAAGCAATAAAAGAAGCACTAAACTATCTCGTTAATTCATAGCGGGATCATTCCACATCCCTAATATTTCTAAAGTTGATTATGTGTTTTTTCATTGATAACTGTACAAGAGTTTCATGACTTCTTTTTCTTAAATCCAAATTTGATGGGAGTCATATACTTCTACAATTTCACAATATGATGAAACCAAGTTTGGTGTTCATATTAAACAATTTCATACTGATAACACTAAGAAAAAATTTCAATCGGACATTCTCATCCTTCTTTCACCAAGAAAGAATTGTCCATTAGTCATCTTGTGTCCACATTTACACAACCAAATGGAGAGATAAAAAGAAAAAACAGTTACTTATTTGCTACTACCTGAGCTTTTTTTGTTCCAAAATCATGTGCCTAAACAATATTGGAGGGAATTCATTCTTACTGCCACCTACCTAACCGATTACATTCAAGGTATTGGACTTTTAAAGTGCCATGGAAGTCCTTCCCGTATTTTACCCAGAGTTCAGTGTCGCGAACCATCTTTTTTTTTTTTAAATAGAAGTGTATATTAATATTAATACCTTGGCACCACCCATGTACAAAAGATTTACAGGTCAATTAGTATATCAACAATAAGAACCAAATCAGTCATGGCATCAAGGTTGTGTCCTAAAACAATAGAACCAAAATAGATAAACCATCTGTCCTTGATGTTGACAAAAATATCTTCTTTATCTTCAAACACCCTATTGTTTCCTTCTTTCCAAATAATCCAAAAGATGGTAAGAGGTATAAGTCTGAAGTGTTTGTTTTTCTTGCGCAAATACTCCCAGGCCAGTAGCTCTTTTCTGACAGTTCTGGACATAGCCCAATTAATACCCAAAAGTCCATAAATCAAAGTCCAAAGGTTGTAGGTGAAGTGGCACCAAAGCAGTAGATGGTTGGTAGATTCTGCATCATTCTTGCAAAGGAAGCATCTGTTGGTCAAAACTAAAATATCTAAGTGTGTCGCAAACCATCTTATCGCTAAAGTATCTGAGTGTGTCGCCTTTGTTTATATACATAAATATTAGCGAGAGAAACTCGACCTAGGAGCCTTTAAGTGTGTTTTCATGAGATATTCCTCAACTCCAACAAAGGAAATCAGTGAATGATATGGCATAGTTGTTTGTCAGTCAAAAACAAGGGAGAGGTCGTTGAACTTTTCTGTCCATTAAATAGGTACCAGGCACTCAAGCTGCATCGGCGCCAACACAAGATAGTTTAACTGTACTCACACATTAGGGAGCATCTAGGTATATGATCTAAGGTCGACTATAAAGAATGTGCAGTTATCATGGGCGTGGCTTTGATATCATGATTAACATTAATGGGGAATGTAAAGCAAAAGAAGAAAGGTTTTTGTTATATCATTAAAATGAATCTTAACACACACATAAATATACTGGTAGTTTATACACAAGAGAAACTATAAATGGATACAAAATTATCACATAGAGAAATATCACACGTCAATGGGAGAGATATTAATAACATAAATAGAAAGCAGTTATTTTGAAGTGATAACCAAATTCCATAAAATTGTAATCGTCAACAAGAGCCAAAAAAAAAAAGGACAGAGATGAGCTAACATCGATAAAAATAAGATCATGCAATAATTGACCAAAGAATCATATTGGTTCATTTGCAATACTCTTATTCATATAGTTAAGGGAGGAAAAAAGGTACTGACCTTTCGCAACTTATCTAGAGCGCCACTTGTGTCAAATATTTCATTCCCTTGCTCATCCATTGTAACAGCAGCAAGCTTAGCCAAGGTAATTCCCGAAGAAAATGGATGTCCCACATTACTGAGAAAACATGTAGTTGTCCATGAAAATACACAAAAACTGAGGTACAAAAGGTAATTAATGGCAAATAAGATCATAAGCCACAAAATACCAAAAACAATTTTTAGATTAAAAAGAAAGAAAAAATTCGTTATATTAAAGGAATTGGTGAATGGAAGGAAATAAGAGAATCAAAAGCCTTGTGAAAAGCCCATGCTACTTATGTAACAGAATTCTCATATCTAATATGTACATTGCTAATATATACTTTAGATATCCAAAATAATTGTAGCCGTAAGAGAACCACAAAATAGTAAAACATTCTTTAGATTTAAAAAAAAATAAAGAAAAACTTCATTATATAAAAGGCATTGTGACTATAGGAAATAAGAGAAACAAACACCTTGTGGAAAGCGTCTGCCACTTACCTAACAGAATCCTCATATCTGATATGTACATTGCTAATAGATATTTTTAGGTTTCCAATAATTGTAGCAATAAGAGAACCAAGCCATGAATTTCCAGGAGGTGACTGCAAAGAATCAACTATCAACTTAGTCGCCATAATGTGCACCAAGGCTTCTCTTGTGTACAATATTCAGAACCACAAGGCATGGCATGAAGTCAATCAAGTGAAGGATGTCAAATGAAATAAGAAATGGAAGAAGATTTTCCAACAGAGCTATACATATTTCAATTTACATTAACAAATAAATAACTTGATAAAGAAAATAAAAAAAAAATGAAAACATGATATGCCACTTGAAGATTAGACCCCTTTACATCACATAGTGCAAAAAATCATCCCCTAACATATCCCACATCCCCATTAATCTTTGTTGAAGTATTGACAATATGTCATTACAATCTATTTGGTGCAATTAAAGTTCCTTTCCTAATTGATTTCTACTTTAAATTTTCAGTTAGTGTATTGGATGTAGATGCCATCAAGGGGATGCAACCCAATTACATATAGAAGAATTTTCATGATAGTCAACATATCTATAAGGTCCTTCAAATCCTCCACCCCACATTTAAAGAAGTTAAACAAAAAACAAAATGGAATCTAAAACTTCTCTAACTTTGTCCAAAGAATTATAATACCTCAACAAGGCCTCCTATTCTCTCACCCATATGGTAGCCAAAGGGATAAGAGAGACGCTTTTTTCTGCTCT